TGCCTTGCAGCGTCTCCGGAATGAAGGAGCCGTCAGTATTGATTTTAAGCTGTCCCTGCGGTGGTGCGTTCCATTTCTTCACGGCAGCCTCACGACGGATCGGCTGCTGTCTTCGGTAGACCCCATATCGGTGATCAGCTTCAGAACGTCAGCTGCTACTTCATCCGCAGACAGCCCCTTCCCTCCTTGGTTCACGTTATTTTGCACACTCCACCAGCGCCAGACTAGGAGCATCGTCTAGATGCAGACATCCTCCTTCAAGCCAAGCACAGCAACTATCACCTACCAACCGATCGTTTTAATAAGAGCATTTGACGAATCGGTTCAAGGGAGAGAGCAGCCCAGCAACGTCTAATCATTTTGCAATTGAGAAAACAGTGGCCACCATCCTCGTCAAAGCAGAAGCATACAGGGCATCTTGTGTCCAGCCGCAAATTGATCTCTTGGAAAGGATACAAGCTGTGAGAGATATCTTTACTGTCTTGTTTCTCTTCAAGAATCGGCAAAGGCTATTCTGAATATTGCGTTGTGCAATTTAACTAAGTTCAAACGAGACATTGAATATTATTTAGTCGAAGTTGCAATTATTTGGTGGAGCGTATTACTATTGTTTGCTTATCTTGGCAAGAAAATTCAAACAAGCTATTTTCATTATCGGGCTTGCTAAGCGCGGACGCCCGTCAACGCCGCGCCATATAAGCGAAGGGTGTTACATATGGTATTCGAGCATTGACGCCCACACGGGGCCCAAGGCTGATCCTTAACGTCCACTAGCATCGAGATGAGGGGGGGCGTGGGTGCTGGTGCCAAGAGGAGGGGAGACACTGAGGCGAGGTAGTAGAAAGCGAAGAAGCGAGATGTAACACCCGATCTACTTTTGAAATATTTAGATGCAACAATTGCAACATACGTCTGAAGACGGATAAAACACTTGAAACATGCATCTGAAACACTTACAAAAACACATAAAAAATACTTAAAACTATTGTAAAACATAAGCAACATCCAGATATAACATTTGCAACATATGTGTGAAACATATGCAATATCCAAATAAACACACTTGCGACATACGTCTATAAAAACTGACGAAACATTTGGAACAAAAGCTTGCAACATACGTGTAGAGCCATTGCAACATATGCAACATCCCAATCTACTTTTGCAACATCCACATGAAACATATGCAACATACCTGAAACATCTTAAACACTTGAAACATACGCTTGCAACATGTATTTTTCACCCTTCTTCTTCCGTACACGATGCTCCTCTGAGAGGAGGATGTGGAAGGAAGGTGAGCACGGCGAAACCATTGCTTTGCCACTTAACGAGGCGAGCGGATGGGGCTCTGGTCGCCGCCGTACATGAGGATAGGCTGCCGGTGAGCTTTTGGGCGGGGGATGAGCAGGCGGAGGGCACTGTCATCACGGCCCCTTCTGGAGGCAAGCAGAGGGTGGTGGATTAGAGAGCGCTGTTATTTTTATTAAAGAGCCCGAGCTTTTTGGCCACGCCTCACGGGCTGCCACTTTCTCACGTAATCTCTATTGATTCAAAACATTTTCAGAGAGGAGACGGAATAGGCCAGCAATGGGTGCAGGGCATCGGCAGGTTGTAGCCGAGAGAGGGCCGGGAGGAAGGGCCGACCGCAGGTGCAGGCGGCTACTAGCAAGCTCTGGCCGGGCGGGGTGGGAAGAGGGAGTTTTAGTGCATGGAGCTTACTAGAATTGGGTGAGGGAGGGATCGGAAGAAGCGATCAAATCTAAATTTGGCGCAAGGATATATACTTTTATATAGCACATGAAGCTTATAGATGAGTGCGGTAGCCATTTCTTTCAATGCGTAGGCGATTAGCGTGCGCCGGTCGGTTCATAGTGATGCGTAGGATCGTGTTTTAAACTCTTTTATTTATTTTCTATGATTGAATGGTGCGGGATGGAGGTGCCACGGGGGATGGCACGGGATGGGAGGTGCCGTGGGAATGGGATGAGAGGACGGCCACATGTGGGGAGGTTTTTTTTGAGTGCACGTCCGGACGGGACGGATGCCCGTGGCGTATCATTAGCGTTTCTTTATCCTGTACCGTGCAAGATTGGAAGATTATTCAGACATCGCAGGCATGTCCTTATCACTTGCAGTTTAGTTGTTATTGCTTATGACTAACCGGAGGCGAAATGGTGGCAGTGCAACTGGTGGTAGTTGTGTTGTTGGCCCATGTAGCCTATGTGGCACATGACGAGTTATTGTTAGTGGGTTTAGTAGCATCTTAGAAGTTTAGGAGGGTGAGGGCTAGCTTATAATACTTATCGTTCCAAACGTAGGACCTCTAGGTTAATCCTTTTACACGAAACAAGGAGAAAGTGTAAGAGAGGTGCTACGTGTAAGCAGGCCCGTTCCATGTGCAGAGCTGGGCCATATAAGACGTAGGGTGTTACAGATAGTATTCAGAGCATTGACCCTTGCTGCATGTGTCCGTGGAGGGGTGTATCAAGGGGTGATGCTTCACGCACCAGTGTCTTGTATGTTGCCAGCAGTGTGAACCTTGAGAGAGAGTAGTATGCCCGTGCCCATGGAGGGGTGTACAAAGGTCATCCTTCACGCACCAGTATCTTGTATGTTGGCAGCAGTGTGAACCTCGAGGAGAGAGTAGCGTGCCCTGAGGGCAATCCCCAACAAAGTGCCGAAGTGATGAAAACAGTGTTCGCCGAAGTCAAGGAGAGAAGGCCGAGGATAAGTAACGTTCCATCTTTTTATGTAATAGGAAAATACCAACATTTCAAAAAAAATTATGTAATGGTGTGTTGCTGGTGACAACCAAGTTAAAACATCTCCTTCTTCCCTCTTATTTCAAAATTCCAACTCAAGGTGCTCAAATTAAAATCTAGCGTAGTATGTCAGTCCAATAAAACATTTCATAAGTTTTAGAAATTAAAAACCAAACTCTGTTTCTCCAAGAACAAATATGAGGTCGAATTGGAGGTACCACTCGAATTCAATTCACATTAATCATGTTTTACCTAAAAACCAAAACCCTCACACTTTTCCCTGCCCCTATACGATGAAACTTTCTCTCTCTTTTTTGAACCTACGACAAAACTTTCTAAATTGTCTTATGACTTCGTTCTTGTTATGTTAGTTGCATATATGAATGTTTGGTTTTATTCGGACTTTCGGGGTGAAACTCTCATCCTCTCATCGAGATGAGTGAGTTAAGAAAAGGCTTTGGCAATGGAAAGCTCCTTCCTAAATCCATCCGGGCAACAAGCCACCTGTGACCCGCACCTACCGCTAGCCCCGGCCCATCGGTCTCCCTAGTAACCAGACTCCAGAGCACACACGCCCCCTTTGGCTCCACCGCACTCGCGGCACCGGGCAGCGCAGTGCTAACACACATGGACACCCGCATGTCTGCATCACGCAAATATATTTTACCCCATGCTCTGTGTTCAGCCCAAACTCTCATCTCTTCTCCGATTCCCTTCGTTTGGTCTTCGCCTCGGTGAACGTTCCAAGCGTATCCGCGTGAGGTCTGAGTTCCGTCGGGAGCTCGCCGCTGCCTCCGCCCTTCGCGTTTTCTTGTGCTGGAAAATCCAGTCCAGATTCCTCCTCCCCCGATACCCTTTTGCTTGGATCTTGCATTTCACCGTACGTTGGTAGCGAATAAAGAGTGCACCTCTTGGACACCTCCATCTCCGTCATGGCGTCATCGACGGACGACGGTCATCTAGGGCGGTGCCTCCAGCCCCCTTCTGGATCCCTTTGATTAGTGCCTTCCCATTTCACGTGAGCCATTCAATTCCTAGAGATGATGATTTGGACTTCATTTGGTCTGGGCATGGGCTAGGTTTGGACGGGCCGGACCCAAACAAGACGAGAAACCTGGCTATTTTTAGATCCATGCAATTTTTAGAAAGAGGAGTATTGGAGCAGTTCAGAATTTGTTAAGGCCTCTAAGATGCCCAAACATAAAGATGAACACGGATTGACAAAAATTTCAGGATTTGGACGAGATTAATTTCGAGGATTGCTCAACTAAACCCCATCTAAACAAGCACTTTGATCCATAAAACATGACCAAAAGAAGTGGATTAATATGTGGCTTCTCACCTAGGGAAACCACAGCAAGGCGATGAAACTTCCTGGCAACAACTTTTTTTTCTCCCCTTCTCTTCTCCTTCCCATCGTCTCCAACTCATGACGATCCTTGCTGCTAGGAACATCTTGTCGTTCCGGTCTACACGAAACATGGCAAAGCCCTCATGGATAGCAAGACAAGCAAGAGGTTTATGGCATAACTAAGCTACGAGATAGCTCCTAACCGGTTTGGCAGGAGGAAGAACAGGCACCATGGACGGCGACTATGACGACGGCGGCAAAACCCTAGGCCCTCTCCTCCTCTTTCCTTTTCTCACGACTGTTGGCTGGGCAGGTCGTGCAGGTTTGGGGAAAAAGAGGCACGCAAGGGAGGAAAACAGAAACAGAACCGGACTACTGTTCATGTGTGTACTGTTCACGTGTTACTGTGGCTTGCCGTTTTCTTCACAAGACTTGTAACAACCGTAACTTTGTGATCCAAACTCCAACGTGTATGAGCAGTCGAACGAAAAAGCATTCGACAAGCTCTACGAATCTATGGTCTCTGTCTGAGCCATGGATAGAAATTCCTTTTTTTTTGCCATTCATTAAGGCTTCTATTTAACTATTTACTACTTTACGCTTTCTAACAAATAAAATGTATTTTTGGGATGTTACAAAACCATTACATTTATAATACAATATAAAAAATATTCCATAGATATGCAATAGTCAGACTTATAAGGAGTTGGACCCCCCCACATGCCCATACACATAAAACTTCTTCAATTCTCTAATGACAACAATAAATATGCTAGAGACTAAATTAGGCTTATGGTGTAAACCAGTACATTTATTTCCCTAATGACATCATCATCTAGATAACTCAAACTACTTTGAAACACAGAATAATTAAAACTCCTGCATCAATTATCATCACCAAACCAATCCATATTACCAAGACTATCTCCAGCACCATCATCATCAATAGAACTTCCTCCTTCGGAAGAAGACTCTAATAAGGTCTTGCTGAGCCACTGATAAGTTTCTCCATTCGAGCCAGAAGGACAGGGAACGTTGTGGCAACCAGGAGCATGGTGGCCTCCATTAGCACCACAAGGAATAAGTGAAGGTTGCTCGTTGCCAGTAAACGAGTGAGTGGGTGTGGTCCCACCAATGCCGCCAAAGAAATGTGAAACTTCGTCATTATTATGTTCTAAGATTGAGTGAGGATTTGCATGATTCTGTGACGGCACATCTGGATTTAAATTTAGTGCTTCGAAAGGAATCTCAACTTCTACAGATCGTTGTGAGGGAATTTGTAGTGCTGATGTGGGCAGTGGTGGTGGTGGTGGTGGTGGTGGTGGTGGTAGTGAAGATAGCATAGAAGTTTGCGAGAAATGTCCGGAGGTGTTACTAGTGATGTCCACCGCTAGGCTCTGATAGTTGTACTGGTGGGCTTCATTAGGTAGGGGCATCATCACAGGTGCTTGTGGTCGCACCATCAAGGAAGCTGGGCGTTGTGACAACTGAGTGTGTCGAAGCATCATCCTCGATATGGCTTGTAGAGATGATGGCTGCACAGGTGGACTCGTAACAGAGACCTGTGGCCTTATCGACTGCGGAAGAGTGTGCGATGATCTTAAAGCCGGCAAGGATGGTTGTGACTGTGAGGAAACCCATGGCAAACGTCTTAGTGGTTGTTGTACCTGAGAATGAGGCGGAGAGAACAGCCACAAAGGCGGTGGACCTCTCGACGATCCGCCGATCTCAACCCAGGGGGAGGAGGAAGTTGGACTCGAATTTCCTGACGGATCCGTGCAAGCCCACGGAGCAGCTCATTGAGCTCATCAACACAAAGATCATCTACCCTGCTATAGATAAGCTTACCCATCATCGAACTCTACTGAATCGCCTTGACGCGTGCCAGAGACTCCGCGGCTCTCTGCTCCCGCATGGCCTTGCTCTCCTCTAGCTGCATTATCTCGTTTTGCAGCTCGGCGATCATCTCCTTTTCTTGCTCGTCGGGACCCTCCGGTGCACCACCCTCCTCCCCTGAAAGGAAAGAATCCATGATGGGGCCGAACGATGGAGCGCTGAAACCGGACATTTTCCCGTTTTCAGCCTCCAGTACAATGGCGATTCTTGCGCCGGTGAGGGTGGACAGGTTAGCGGCCATCTTGAAGAGCCCATCACGCCGCTTGGAAAATCAGATGCTTCGGCTGTTGCTGTTCTCGATATACTTGATGCCGGATCTCCTTGGACGCCTAGACTTCCTCATGATGGTTGTGTTTGGATGACATGACAAGGAGCTCCAGAGGCATCCTATATGAAGAAGAAGAAGAAAATGAGTTGCAGGAACACTAACCTCGTGTCACCTGGTCAAAGTGGGGTCCACGTAAGGTAACTGTAAAAATTATGATGGTCTCTGTATATGGATATTGCTCTTTAATTTAGCAACGAAAACAAGCTAACTTTCATGCATGACAAGTAAAATATATTGGGTACTTAATGTGGCCTGATATGAGGTCTTGCCATTTAGTCTAATGTTTATTGCAAAGCCCGTTTTTCTGCTGGTCTCCGGTTGACCCTACATGAAGCCTTTCAGTTTGAAGTAGTATATTTAGCGCTAATCAAACACAGCCATATATTATGTCTATGTCCCTACTACTTCCTCCAATCATTAATATGAACCCATTTAAATTTATCATATATATAAGTGAAATTATTTTACCTTTGACTACAAATATCTAAAACTTTTGTAGTTTGGCAACACTGGATTTGCATTTATTAGATTCATTAATACATATACACTTTGATAATACTCTGCTTTTGATATGAAAAGATTTTATAATATTGCCTCAACTGATCAGAAATTATTCTTTTCCCAACCTCAAGTTGAACCGCTGCAGTATATGTCTATCTAAATTTTGGATTTATTTAATTAGCACTGTGTTTGAACTCACTGTAGGTCGATGCATCATGATTATATTAGGAACTGCAAAGAATGGCACTTCTTGAGGCAAGGGTGAGGAATGGACGGCTTGGTGACATTTGCTTTTCTTTTTTGATTTTCAGGCAAAATTTTAATTTTAGCTTGAGCAAGTTTTGTGTTGATACAACAGAAGCTCAGAATAGATTTAACATGCAAATTAAAGAAGCCCAAAACATGTGGCAGAATGAGCTCAGCCCAGTAGCGCTGTGGGCGAGCGACAATCCGGGCCCAGATGGCTGCCGGGCCACTTCGCACGGGCTGGAACTGCAACGCTGGTACTGCATTCTCTGTGTCTTCGAGGCTATTTTTGTACACTACCTATAATAAGAATAGGAATAAATAAATTTAGGCATCCGACAATCCTCCTAGTTTTCGCCGGTGGTTCTTTTTTTCAATAATTATATTATTGTATAGACACATATACCGCCATAAATATGAACAAACACTTGTCTCTATAAATGCATACACAAAAATTCTATCTGTATAAGCACAACTTAAAGACTCACCTCTTTCGTACATGAAGGACCAGTACTGGTGCCAAACTACCGCTTATATAAAATGTTTATCTTAAACTTATATAGATATATACTTGTTCATTTAGATTCATAATAGTTTCCTCTTTGTATAGCAACCCATGTGCATTGTAGCTATTTTTCAATTATTGATAAAACCTTAGCTTTTAACAATGCCTTTAACATGGAAGTAGATGATCATTGTTTAATGCATACATGTATAGATCGTGTGAATAGTGACACGGATCACGCATTACCTTTGAGTTACCTTTCCTATATTTTAACAATGGGCCAATTGCAAACGTGGACAATTTAGAAGCATACATTAAAAATACTTTGGGAAATATTTTATAATGAGAAATGTAGTGTCGGTGTTTCGGACCGGGGTTCTCTACCAACTAGTGAATTTAAACTGCGTGGCCCTAATCCCGGATGGTAATGCAAAGAGACACAAGGTTTATATTGGTTCAGGCAATCGATGCCCTACGTCCAGTCTGAGAGATCGATCTTGTATTCCTTGCACTGAAGTACTAGTAGTAGGGGATTACAAGCACAGGGAGAGAGGGAGCTAGTCCCAGGTCTCGGTGAGGTGTCGTGTGGGCTGCTTGAGACGTTGCTCTCAGGCGGCCGGGATGTGTATGTGTGTGAGCTACCAGGTGTTCTTCCTATTTCTCCTCCTTCGCCCCCCCCCCCTTTCTTAGCTATCCCTGGCTGCTTCCTTTTATAACCGCAAGGAGGGAGCTAGGAGTACATGAGTGATCTATACGTGGAGCCTACTGTAGTTCAGTCTTGTAGCAGCATGGTGTTGGGGATGGCGATTGGTACTTGATTGGCGCGCCGTGCTGGCCAGGCCCGAGGTTGTTGAGGTCGTGGGAGTCCTTGTTGACGTCTAGTCAGTATGGCTTCCACTATAGGAGGCATGCCGTGCCTATGTATTCTTGACTTAGTGGAGTGCCGAGGCCTGACGGGTGCTGTAGCTGATCGTACCGAGGCCTATTTTGCCGAGGCCTCAGAGGTGACCCGTGTATGATGCGGGGCCTCGGTGGTCAGCGTCGTACCCGGTTCAGGCGGAGAAGTGCGGAGCGTGTGTCCACAGGGCACGGTAAACCCTGCACCGTCAGTAGGGGATGGTAAAAAGAAGATTTGACCGCTGTCCCATCACCCCCGTTGTTGCACCACCTCGTCGGTCGTGGCTGACGTAGTTGGTGCGACCAGGCGCATTTAAACGGATGTGACGGCTCGCCAGAAGGACGGTTGAGGCGGAGGCGACGAGGATGCGGGACGAGCCCGGCCTCGGCCGAGGTGGAGAAGGAATAGTACGTCCGAGGCCCTGCCGGGGGGTCTTGAATGAGGCGGAGGCGACGAGGATGCGGGACGAGCCCGGCCTCGGCCGAGGCGGAGAAGGAATAGTACGTTCGAGGCCCTGCCGGGGGGTCTCGGATGAGGCAGAGGACGAACGGTTGGGCTTTCATGCTGATTCCGAGACTACTGGGACCCGGACTTGACCCTCCACGCCACTTTGTCCTTGGCGCAGGAGTTAGGTAGCACAGGGCAGTACGGGTGTCAGTAGGGGGCATAGTGATGACCACAGTGGTAGGTAACCCCTGCTGCGCCCGGTCCCCTGTCCCGTCGGTCATTCTGCCTGTACTGTGCCAACGTGCGGCTGACGTTGCGGGAGTAGTGGGGCGTATTGACTGGACGTGGCGTTTTGTCAGGGGAGTCGGTCGGGATGGAGGTGACAAGGTTGTTGCCGAGCCCAGCCTCGGGCGAATCAGAGAATTGGTATCCCGGTATTGTGAGGCGGGGCCTCGGCGAGGGGGCCTCGACGAGAGGGCCTTAGCGGTCTGAGGCCTCGGCGCAAGCCTTGGGCGAGTCGGAGAATCTGCCGAGACCTCATGGTTGTCCTTTGGCTTTGATTTTGGCAAGGCTTAAGCAATATTTTCGGTTCTTGCTTAGGGTACCCCTTCTTGTGGTATCCGACAGTAGCCCCCGAGCCTCAGGAGGAGTGCAGGCACTCTCCTGTGGTTTTGACGAGACTTGGCTCGTAGCAGCTCCCGTCGGGATTGTGTTTTGTACTTGGTGGTTCCGGTGGGTGCGCGCGAGCGCACCCGCCGGGTGTAGCCCCCGAGGCCCTGGAGGAGTGGAGTTACTCCTCCAGGGGCTTTTTTCGTTTTTGCATTTGAGCGAGGAGTTTTTATCGCATTTGCCGAGCCCACAAACGCAAGTTCGGGTTGCGGGGGTCTCGGCGAGGCTGCAGAAAAAGCCCTCTAGCCTCCGCATGGAGCGAGAGGTCCGTCTGGGATCCCCCTGACTTTGGGTATGACCCTCACGCTTCCTTTTCGCTCAGAAGGAGGGGTGGAACGTGCTAGGCTACCCTCGATGGGCACGAGCGTGGGCACTTCCGGTGAGCTGTTATTGGGTAGTCCGAGTGGAGGCCCGAACCCCGTTCGCTAAGGGTCGGCTAGCGGTCCGGAGATGCACTCCGAGAGTACTAGAGGGTTTCTCTAGTGGGTGCCGAGGCCGTTCGCTGGGCCTCGGTGGCTCGGTGCCTCCCTACGGTGGGATCCCATTCGGAGACTTCCCTGCCGGTCTCGGACACGACTTAGGGCGCCCCGAGCGATCGGGCGATCGTTCGCTCGGGCCTCGGCCATTCGTAGGCTCGCCCCAAGGTCGTCCCTGACTCTGTTGCCCTAGGGCGACTGTCGAAACCTCTGGAGGCCCAGCCTTCGAACCCCTGGACCGTAACGGGCTCGGTGCCCTTTATCGTATTTGTAACGGAACTTCTAGCATGGACTTAGACCATTTGTCTTTGTCTTAGGCGCAGGAGGAGCCCTCGAGCCTCCACCAAGAGCAAGAGGGCGGTCAGGGGTCCCCTGGCTTTTTCATCCGACCCTCACATATCTTTTTCGTTCAGACGGAGGGTTTGTTTGCCGAGCCCACTCTTGGTGCGAGCCGAAGCCGCTGGTCTCGGCAAGGTTGCAGGAAGAGCCCCTAGCCTCTGCACGCGGAGCGAGAGGGCCGTCGGGAGTTCCCCTGGCTTTTTATACGCCCCTCGCGCGTGAGGGTTTGTTTGTCGAGGCCGCTTTGGGCGCCAGCCCGGGTCGTGGGGTCTCGGCGTATCTGCAGGAAGAGCCCCCTAGCCTCTGCACAGGGCAAGAGGGCCGTCAGGAGCTCCCCTGTCTTTTTGTACGACCCTCACGCTTCCTTTTCGCTCGGAAGGAGGGTTTGTTTTGCCGAGCCCCTTTGAGTGCGAGCCGGGGTCGCCGGGTCTCGGCAAGGTTGCAGGAAGAGCCCCTTAGCCCCTGCATAGAGCAAGAAGGCCATCAGGGGTTCCCCTGACTTTTTGTACGACCCTCACGCTTCCTTTTCGCTCGGAAGGAGGGTTTGTTTTGCCGAGCCCCTTTGAGTGCGAGCCGGGGTCGCCGGGTCTCGGCAAGGTTGCAGGAAGAGCCCCTTAGCCCTTGCATAGAGCGAGAAGGCCGTCAGGGGTTCCCCTGACTTTTTGTACGACCCTCATGCTTCCTTTTCGCTCGGAAGGAGGGGTGGAATGTGCCTCACTACCCTCGATGGGCATGAGCGTGGGCACTTCCGGTGAGCTGTTATCGGGTAGTCCAAGTGGAGGCCCGAACCCCGTTTGCTAGGGGACGGCTAGTGGTCCAGAGACACACTCTA